TTATTTTTCTACACCTAGAACATAGTGTAGTTCATGACTAAACATGTTATATTCCTTGAAAAGGAATTTATGGATGCTAGAAACAATGGGAGGAAATTTTGAACTCAATGAGATTTGAGTAGACTCATAAATTAACACTCCACTAGTGAAACCCTAAGTGAATAGGTTATAAAGTGTTGTAATTATTCCATAAATAAAATACACAAAACTTCATAAATATAAAATGAGTTCATCAAAAGACAAAGATATAATCTTTTTATCTAAACACATGGTGATGTGTACCTTAAAAAGGATGATGAAACTAACACTTATGAAATCATAATGTTAGACATTGACTCCTAGAAATAGAAAATAAAAAAGGATGTATGGATGACACACCTTGATGGTTTCATCACCAAGGACAAGTAAATAAGATTTATAAATTGCAAAAGTTCATTTATAGACTCAAGCATGCCCCTAAGAATGAGAATCGATATTTTGATGAAACAATCAAAGAGTTTGATTTTTCATTAAAAAATAAAGATGAACCTTATGTATACAAAAGATTAGTGGGAGCCTATTAGTCTTGGTTATTCTACATGAAAACAAACAAATAATTCTCAACTATAACATTATCATTTTGTAAACTATAAAAGATTATGTATTTAAGAATTTCTCTATATATGATATGGAAGGATAGCCTATATTCTAAAAGTTGAGATCTATAGATATAGATCACTCGGAATATGAGGGGTCTCCTAAGGTAAATACATTGACATGATACTAAAAGATTTAGCATGGAAGAATAAAAAAAAGGATTTGTTCCAATGTCACATGACATAATGGCCGACTATATAGGTTCTAAGCATTGTTGATCCAATAGTATTATACTACGATAACAACGGAGTCATTTCCCAAACTAAGGAACCAAGGTCTTATAAAAAGTCCAAATATGTACTCGTGACGCTACCACTTGATTAGAGAGATTATCAATCGTGGAGACATAAGGATAAAAAGGGTCTACACCGATAATAACATAGCTAACCTTTTGACTAAGCCTTTGTCACGACTAAAACATTAGACCCTTACTCAATCATCGAGAATCAAAGACATGGCCGATAAGCTTTAGTGTAAGTGGAAGATTGTTAGTGTATGGCTCAATATCCTACCTTAATTGGTTGGTTTGACTTATTATAATATTACTTTCTTCATTTCATTAATAAAAAGAAGTCTTTCTATTAATTCTTATTGTTTATATTCATTGATAGAATTAGATAGAAATTCATATGATATACATTGTATTAATGATTGATTGAAAGATATGAGACAAATATTAATACACATAAATAATATCATTAATTATCCCAAGTGATAACATTGTTAAGAATGAACATTGACTATATATGATAAGAGTTGTGAATTTTATGCTCATGTTGTAAGGAGATCTCGCACCTATTGGTATGGTGATGCCAAAACAATCACTTAGGTGATTAATATTAGAGAACCCATTTGGTTTCACCTGTAAGAATCTCATACGAGATAGGTACAATTGATCTTTTAACTTAAAGTCATCATGATTATCTTATTAGAGGATTTATGTACTTTAACACTCATTTTGATGGAATAAGTAAAGCGTTACACGTGGAGGATTTGTTAGGTGCACTAAGAATCTAATGAAATAGGTCAACGACTAAGATAGGACATGTCATTCCTTGTATGTTAAAGGATTTATCACATTGTACTTCAATAAATGTCCGCTCAAGGAATCTATAACCATAGTAGAAGTACATCAATAGAGCATAGTTGGTTTACTCTAGTGCTAAGACATTTAGGAATTAAAAAAAAAACTTGTGTGATCATAATCAAATAGACTATAAACCAAGTTTGAGATCACATTATGATAAATTAATATAAGGACTAAATTGTATGGTAACCAAAAGATAATCATAGATTAATTAATCCTCATAGAGAATTGGGTAGTCATGATGCCTTACTAGAAGCCAATCTTGATTTATGTATCAAGAGATAAAAGATGAGACTTTTATTCTTGATACATTATCAAAATATCTAGCATCTTATTAAGTCACACACATAAGTTTAAGCATTCACATAATAAAAGAGAAGTAAAGATTTTGAAAAAGATTTTCAAGTTTTGAAAGTTTCTGTTTTGGAAAAAGTTTTCTAAAATGAAAAGTTTTCTATTTTAGAAATCAATTTCTTAATTTGGAAGTTAGTTCCAAATTTGAAAATAAGTTATCTAAAAAGGAAATTAGTTTCCCAATTTTGGTTTAAAGGTCATTTGAAAAATTATTTCCTAATGTGGGCCTCTTAAAAATATCTAATTCAATTTATTTGGATAGTCCAAATTAATTGGTAATTAATTGGCCCAATATATTTAATTCAAAGGCTATAAGATATTTTAGTAGGAGGATAAACTTGAGTCATGTTAGATAAGGCATAGGGTTTACAAGGACAAGATAGAAAAGGCCACATATATTGTAACTCCTAATCATTGGAGGACTAGAAAGCCACAATCTAAAGTCTATATAGGACTTGTTGCCACCGCTTCCTTGTCCTTGAAGGACAAAGAAGTCACTCCCCTATAAATAGAAGAGAGAGGTGCGACAAAGAGAGAAGAATAATTAAGAGACACATGACATAGGAAAAAGAAAAGAGAAAATAGTTTTCTCTTCCTAAAAATCACACAAATTGTCTCCCTCTCTCTTAAAGTTGTCGCAAAATATCCTAAAATAGATTTTTAAAGAGCAAAATCAAATAAGTCAGAAAAAGTTGGAGCTAGCACTTTAAAACTTCTAATTGCTTTTTGTATAGTTACTTAGACTACGTAAATTATCAATAGAGGTCGGACACTTGGATGGCTTTTATTTTTTTGTAAATGCTAAATCTATGCTACAAGAGGTAATCCTTTACTCATACTTTAATTCATGTACGCATGATTACTTAATTCAACGGCTTGATCTTGAAACCCTTAGATAGAAGAAAAAAATTTCTTTTATTTCGCATCTCTATAGGATATATAATCCTTCACTATAAACACTCGTTCATGGTGACATAGACAATGTATTCACATCACCTACAAATTATCGGTAACCTTTCAATTATCGGTCGAGGCATTTACCCAAAAGCAATCAAAGCATAAGGTACCAAGATATATTGCCCTCTCTACCTATGTCTTTAAATGAGTTATTTAAGCATATGAAGAATATTGATCAAGTCATTCCTATCCCTACGGATCGTATTTAGCCATCATATCCATATTGGTGCGAGCCTAACAAAATGTAACTACCACTCTAGTATAGTAAGGCATGGTATCGAGAATTATATCACTTTTAAGAGAAAAGCTCGAACTCGATTTATCAAGATTGGATCTCTTTGGATAACAACACATCAAATACCAACATCAATTCACTACCAAATCATACAATTACCAACACAAAATGTGAAAATACTAACTAAGCATAGTCTAGATCATAAAGGGTCGACATAGGTCCTTGCTGTCCGAATTGAGTCCTTTTTTTTTATTGAACATTGTTTGTCGAAACATTTTGTTCGGGGTTTTACTAAACTAAGTGGCATATTTTAATGGTATTAAATTTTCTCAATATATGACTTTGAAATTTAGAAATATGCATTTAAAATTATCATTTAGCAAGTGTATTTCATCCGTAAGAGAAAAGAGTATGATGATAAATGTATTTATTAAATACCTCTAAGATTGATTAAATTCTAGAACATGTCAAGCAAGCGGATAAACGAGTATAGACCGGGTAGGATAGGGTATGAGCTAGATAAAGAAATAGGCAAATGATTTTTAGTGTGTAATGGGTAGGATAATAAGTATAATATTTTTTAATAGATATGGTATGAGATTAACTTAATGGGTCGGTATCCGACCTATTGCCATTCATACTCGGGAGATAACTGCTTTTTTTTTTTTTTTTTTGCTAAGCTCTTTTCTCGACAATTGTTTATATATATATATATATATATATATAACTCTAAGGACCGAAGTGTAAAAACAAGTATTTAAATATTTCAAAATATCTCTTAAATTTTTGAGTAAAACAAAGTCATTTTATTCACTACTTGATTATAGTAAAATACCATTTTGTATTAAGTTTTTATAAGGAAAAAAAATTCAAAATATGCTATATGAATGATTGACAATATACTTTGATTAATGCTTTAAGAGGTGGTTCAAATGATAAAAAGAAAAAAAAATTAGTCTAACTAGAGGTTTTGAGTTTGGTCATAATTTTCTTGAGAAAAAATATGTTAATATTGATTTATCCTCATTTACAAAGATACTCTAGTGTTTATTCTTGGCATAGGTGTGGTTGAATTCCTTCAAATCTGTATGATTATGAAAAACACAACTATTCTATGGAATGCTTGATTAATATATAAGTTATATATGTATCTTTTTTTTTTTTTAATAGTAAGGATGTATTCGGACCAATTTTGGTGCACTTCAAGATTAATCTATTTTTTAATGTAATTAAAGGGTACTCTCCAACACATAACTTCGTATATTTGAAAAATAAATTTTCAAGAGAGCTAGCCACAAGAATCATACTCTAGATCCGATTTAAAAATCAATGATTGTTTATCAACGAACTACCACCTTATGGTTAATTTATTTTTCTTTTAGGAAAAAAAATAGTTTGATTAATAAAATTAGTTTGATTAAAATTTTTCCCTTTTCTCTTTTCTTAGAGAACTCTAGGATTATCGTTAGTGTATTCTTGTATATATTAACCTTTTATATGTACTTTTGTCCTACATCAGCTCCAAATAATATCAAATTTAGGTTTTGATCAATTATTTGGCATGTTCAGTGCTATTGGTCTCATTGAGGTCATTTTAATATGTAAAAAATAGAGAGAGTGTGTGTTATTTGCAATTTTCTCAACTTCTATGGTCCCATATGAACGGATTTAAAGAATGTACGAGTCCCAAAGTTAATGGAACTTGGAAGTTAAGGTTCATCCGAGATCAACATGAAGGCTCCAAACTGGACTAGCACATTTAACTTCAGCTCTGTTGAGGCTTTGAATATTTTGGCATTTTCTAGAGAGTCGGCTCTAGGAAATACGGCCAATAAAACCGAAGACCTGGTGGGGAGCATTGGCTTTGGCATTGCGCTTTGTTTTAGAAGTAAAATAAACGCAATTTTAAAAGCAGGTCGAAGCAATTCTATGTAAATATTAGATGGTATATTCTCTACTTTCATTCTCTTTTCTTTCCTGATAGTAGAGACCCTATATTTTAGCCTGAAAAACCGAATACCATTGGGTTGTCAATATCGATTGCGTCTCTGTTCCACTGTATAGCCCAGTCTGAGGTTCTATGAGGCACAACAAAAATCATTAATGGGAGATAACGGGAGCTAGTTGGGGGGCTCAGGAACCCAAAAAATGCGACCATTAATGAGATTTGCAAACCCAATAGACAGGCAGCCATCCATCATATGACCACTGCCATGATCAGACATTCTTTAATTTGCATCCCTATATGGAGATTGCCATGTCAATTTCTCTCCTCAATTTGTCATCAATAATCAAAAGGGACGTCCTAGACAGTATCATAGAAGAGAGAGAAGAACAAAACCAAAAATCAAACCTAACGTGACATTGCTATCAAATCCAGATACTACCAGTAAAAGCTACATCACAGTACCCGACATCACGAATGGTTTGGGCTCACATTCTCTCTGTTAGCTCTTAACAGTTACATACCCTATTTTTCTCATTCCATTATGGCCTCTTTCGCATTTCAATTTTAAAGCTATATACAGCCATCGATTGAAAATTTGAATTGACGTAGGAGTCTTCCTATTAAATCACATACATGCATCAGACATATCAGTTTCCAGAGTCTTTTTAGGAATGAAAATTAAATGCCACAGAACTATTAATTAAGCAGGCCTAGCCCACATGGATCAGATCAACTTAACAATGTAGCACAGCACATGCTACTCTTAAATTATAAGATGTCTTGCTTTGGTTCTTTGTCTATTCTTTGTTGGTTCGAGGTTAGTATGGAACAACTTCTCTTCGATTTTTTGAAAATAAGATTAGATCACGTTGGACGGACACCATACAGAACTAAAACTCTGTTCTGTTCGATGTTAGGGTGGTGGGGGGATGTGTTTGCTTTGTCTTGCCTGTAATGGAAACAAATGAATTGCATTAATTAATTTGATTTGGTTAATAATACAACAAAAATAGATGTACCTAACTCTTAATGGCATGTTTTGTCTCTTTTATGTGTATCGCGAGCAAGTTTTGTTTCCCTTTATTTACCAACAACTCACGAAAATTTAAATGTTCGATTCTTTGTCCGCAGGCATCATGCCAATCCTATTGCTTCGTCATTTCAATGATTTTTATGACCTTAATTTGATTTTTTGGTCTCTCTCTCGCTTTAATAAATAAATTTCTAGATGAAACATCCAGGTTTTGTAGTCTTGTAAATTAATGATTAGTAATAGTAGGGTAGAATTTTTTTTTTTTTTTTTTAGAGTGAGGTATTTGGTCTCGTATGTAACTTGTGGTAATTTTTGTAAAATAAATAAATAAATCTTCTTCTTTTTCAAACTTAGCTTGGAAGCCCTCCTCAGTCCTAACATACGGTTACTCTTTGTTGTTGGTCAAGTGGACTGAATAACAGAGACAGGAAAGAAATCCAATACTCACGTCATATGAATCAAAAGATACAACTGCCATTTCATCTTGTTATAATTTTATTGCTAGTTGTTTTAGGATATTCAAATTCAGCAATTAATAAACCAGAAATTGTTTCTAGAATTTCTGATAGTATATATTGACTACTACAATCAGGAAAAGGAAAATAAGCTTATATAGGATGCTAAACCGAATAATTAATTGATGGAGAAATTTGAAAGGTTTCCCACATATTAATTAAGATGTCCAAAAATTTGTTACCTAAAAATGCTAATGGCCCATATTTTCTCCCTAATTAAAGAGGCACCTCTCTCTTTCGTCTAGGTGATCTATTGTGAAAATATATAATTTTTCTATTTTCTTTCTACCTTTTGGTGTATCGGAAAAGAAATCCAAAAGTCCAACCACAAAGACCATAGAGAAAACTTTTGAATTATTTTAACCGCATTTGCTTTCATATCAGAAAAAAAGCTTCCGTCACCATCTTTCAAGTTTAAGTTGAATAGTCTAAAGCACCTCTCTAAAAGTTATAAGACTTTGTTTCTCGCTATCTATATGTCCCATTAAAATTTCAACCCCCTTGCGTCCGATGAGACTCAACAGTCTCTTTTCAAATGGAGAAAAGAAACTGCCACGATCTCTTTTTTGTTTTTCTTTTTTCCCAAAGAACTGCTCATCTTTCTCTCCTTTATTTTGGTCCAACTTGTCGAAAAAAGTGTATTATTATTTTTACATCATAAACTTCTCATAGTCATGGCCAAGAGGCTAAAAATCGACAATACATTCACAATATATATGAAAAAGAAAATCCAACTGTTTTCTTTTTTCTATTAAGAAAATCACACCTAGTGAATGTCAAGTTTTACCTTAAATAAAAAAATAATAAAAGAAGAAGAAGAAGAAGAAGAAGAAGCTAGCCATTAAGAAAAGTGAGGGGAGCAGACATTATCATCGAGAAAACAACAGAGAGAGAAAGAAAGAGAGAACTGACAATATATAGACTATGAGAAGTAATGGAACAATAATCTATTAATTTGAACAAAGTTAATCAGAGTTAGAACTCTAAATTAACTACATATTTTAAAACGAAGATAGCAGAAAATTAACAGGCAGTACAGTTTTTCATCATCACTAAGACCAATTAGAGAACAAAGCCTCCCAAATCTCCATAAAAACCTCAACAATGATCTTGTGATGATGATAAGAGTTCAAAGACAAGAAACACTGCAACAACTGTTCAAGATCCTTAGCTGCAAATATCTGCTTTTCAACAATCATCTCAACCATTGATTTTCTAAAATCATTATAAGGATCACTAGAACTCTTCACCACTGCAAAGCTGTCCTTCACTTTCCCATCTAATGGCAAAACACCCACTTGAGAACTCTTCACTTTGGCCCTTCTCCTCCTAGAAGTGTACTTTTTTCGGCGAGAAGAAGGGTGCCTGAGAGATCCTGATGATTCTGAAGAAAGACTTCTTGAAGAGAAAAGGTTGTCCGACTCATCCTCTCTCTTGCCTTCATCTTCGCTGCTAAACCAATAATAGCTACCTCCAAAATATGCACTATCTATTGAAGATGAGCTAAACAGACTCGTCTGATCTTTCTTGTTAGTGATGTTCTTCTTCTTGCTCTTACTCCTGTTCTTACCTGAACCACAACCCTTCTTTTTCTCTTTGAAACCCAATTCTTTATAGAATGGATTCAAAGGAAAAATGGGGGAAGCAGGAGGGCAAGAACTGTGACCATTAGCTCTAGCAGATATAAAAGGAGGATAACGGTATGAAAGTTTTTGCCTGGAGATGATAGAGTGGTTGATGGCTTGGTTTGTTGCTCCAGGGCATTTATGTCTGCAAATAGAAGGGAAAGGTAGAGCCTTAGGAGGCAAAGGCTCTATCATGTGGAAGTCTTTAATGTTTTTAGGCACAAACACAGCCTTTTCAATCACTTCCGAAAAGTTTCGAGTCCGGCATGAGCCACGAAACATGCGAGAGATTCGCGTCTTCAATCGGTTTTCCATTAGGGAAAGAGGAGAAATATTTCAGAAGAAAAGGAGAGAGAGAGAGAGAGAGAGAGAGAGAGAGAGAGAGAGAGGGGTTTTTGAAGGAAGCGAGGTGGCGGTATAATGATATCTGGTATATAAATACATCAGAAACTGAAAGTGGGGTTTTTTTTATATAAAAAAATAAAAAAATAAAAAAATAAAAAAAAGATAAAAATAATTAAGGTTAAAGCGTACTCGTGAATCATCATACTTCTGCTGTTTTTCGTCTTCTTCTTTGTTCGGACTTGGAAAAAATTGGATTGAGGAGACGACCTCAAATCAATAATTATTTAATTATTACCCTTTGTTCGTTATATATGATTAATAAATAATTATTATCTTGTTCCTCGTTTATTAATTGTGATTATTATATAAGAATTATGATTTTTTTCATATAATAAGGTATTTTTAAATTTTATTTCTTATAATAGGATAGTTTTAAATTTATTTTTTTTATTAAAGTATTATATGTCAAATAGAAATCATTTCAATTAAATATATTAACATATCAATTTTTTTTTTTTTGATAAATATACTCGTATACTCAGAAAGCAGTTTTTATTGTATTTCAATTATGTGTATGTTATTTTTAATTGATCAAACGGTCTGTTGTGCTCGTTTGTATACATATATAGCTTCTCACCCCTCTCTCTCGTAGAAAACCCGAAAGCAAACCGATCTTTCAACAAATTTAATTTTCTCTCCGTTTCTCTTTCTTGATAACAGTTTCTTGATCAAAACACTCATCATGGAGTGCAGGCCATTAGAGATCACGGTTACCTCAGCCAAAGATCTCAAAGATGTCGATGTTTTTGGCAAGATGGATGTCTATTGTATTGTTTCCATCAAAGGAGATCCATATAAATCTAAGCAGAAACAGCAAACCCACGTTCATAAAGATTCTGGGCCTAACCCTCTTTGGAATTTCCCTATGAAATTCACCATTGACGAAGCTGCTGCTCAACAACATCGCTTAAAGATCAAGTTTAAGCTTAGAGCCAAGCGGATGATGGGGGATAAAGATGTTGGTGTCGTCGTCGTGCCTGTCAAGGAATTACTGGATGCAAAAGATAGAAAAGGCCTCTTGAGTTATGCTGTCAAGACCCCAGCTGGGAAGATGAAAGGAACGTTGAATTTCTCGTTTAATTTCGGCGAGATATTCAATGCTCCTACGCCGGCGAAGGTGAAAAGGATTAAAGATTAAAGACGAAGAATTGCTGGACCCAATTTCAATGGGCTTTTCGGTAGACGGTCAGGGACAACTCCTGGATATTCCTATGCTACTAACGAAAACATGGATGAAGTATTATATATAACAAATGATGGTTTACTTAATTTGGTCCGTGAATTTATTCTTGATTGAAATATAGGCTAAACGGTATAAATTTCTCGTGAACTTTAAATCATTTGAAAATCGTTAATTAGTTCCACTTTCAAATCAAACACAGAGTTCTTCCTAGGGCTGCCACCTAATTTTGCTTGGCTATTTCTTTGCAAAAGACGCTGGATAAATGTGGTCAGGATATGGTCGAGCCTAAAGGCGGCATTTCCATGGTGGCTAAGCCCTCTGCCTACCTGAACAAGGTTGTTAAGATCAGGCACTCGCCTAAAGACGACTGGAAAGATAGGATTTTTGATTAATTAAAAACACGAGTAAAACAAACTATTTGATTAATTAAAAATGACATGTCCGTAATTTAAATACAATAGAAACGGTTTTTGAGTATGTTTAAAAAAAAAAAAAAAATGATGTGTCAATATATTTAATTAAAATGGTTCATATTTGACGTACAATGTCTTATTATAGAAAATAAGTTCAAAACTATTCTATTATAAAAAATAAAATTTAAAAATACCATATTATAGAAAGAAAAAAAAAAAAAAAAACTCCTTTATTTTGAATTGGACTTCCTTGGGAATGTTTTATTACTATTATTAGTATTACCTATATTCTGCCTAACTTTTTATTTTAAAATGTAACAAAATTATGGTCTATTATTAAAAAAAAAAATCAAATTGTTAATTACTTGATTTTACTGTTAAACGGAATAATTTATTTTATTTTTTTATTCAATTTCTCTTTTTTATATATATTCTAATAAAGAGTAATAGTGTAAAGTAATTTGAAATAGGCAATATGACATATGATTAGTAAAACTTTCTCAATTTATGTGAAAATCCAATGGGAGTAAAGCTTTAGGAAAGAGAGTAGTAATTATGAGCACTTAATTTTGAATAAGACTTCCTTTAGCATGTTCAAAACTCATTATGTACGTAAAACATTTAGGTCTCCACCTAATTAGATATATAGATGTATTAAAAATAAATAATATTTATACTAAATTTATTTTTTCAAATAATTTTCAAATTGCATCTCAACATCAAAAAAAATTTAGGATCATTTAATTTAATTTAATTTATTTTTTCATTTTTGAAAACTCCTATGAGAACACTTAACTCATCAAGCAGCGCTCCAATTGCAATGTTCATGGCATGACTGATATTATTAAAAGAGATGAGGCTACAAGGTCAAATTCCCCTAGCTACTTATTCAAAACTATTGAATTCTTGATAGAAGAAAATTACATTATCTGATAGGATGAAGAATTTTCACTTGAGAATGTTGCACACGAATACTTTCTTAGGTTAGTATCAAGTAAAAAAATAAAATAGAAAGACAAGAACAATCATACAATATAAGGATTTTATGTGACTCGACAATAATGCTTACTTCATAGCTACATTAAGATTTCTTATTAAGTCTTTTAAAGTGATCACTATAAATACAAGTGAGAGTACTTTTATGTATAGTATGGATAACTAAGGTTATAAGAAAAAAAGCTTAACGGACCTATAGATCCGATCTAATATTCTTAGATCTTTTGAAGGCTCCGCCCCAAAGTCCATGCACAAAGCATTGCCTCCTTGGACCTTGCTTGCTAATCAACTAGTGAGATCACCGTGTTGAATCTATATATATAGCATCTTATATTACAAGCTCTCATCAACATCAATTTTTACAACTTCATATACTATATAAATGTTGAAATTAATTTCAAAGTAGTGAAATAAATTTTGCTTTGTCAAAAACAAGATAGTGATATTTTTAGATTAATTTCTATGTATGAAAGTATTTTTAATTCCAATTGTGTGTTAGACAAGTCATCTATAAACTCTAATATTTTGGAGATATTTTTTTCTCATGCAAAATTTTTCATTAATTTGTGCTTTAATAACAAGAAAAACAAATACACCACATCAGCCAAACATACAGGGGGACAAACATGGATAACTGTTGTTCGAATGGTTATTTCCTTTCACATGTTAAAACTCATATTTACAAAAAAAAAAAAAAAAAAAAGGTTTGAATTGATATCCTACTCCCTAAGCTTAGCTGGGAAAACCAGATGGACGGGTCATGAACTGCCTGATTTGCCAAACTTGCTCACTTTATGGGTTATTCAGAAAATGCCAACCTAGGCATTACCAAATATATATATCGGTAGGGGACCAAGAAAATAAGGGAGCCCTTTTGCAGGATTCATTTGGTATATGAAATTCAAATGGTAGAGAATAATTAGTCAAGATCATCCTGAATCTTGAATATATTGCTAACAATTCTTTGGAATTGTTGGTTCAGATTATTATTTTTTAAACCATACATGTGTTTATTTATTATAGTTATTATTATTTTATTGATTTAATGATAAAAAATATTACTTGATCAATTTGTGTATCAATCTAAACCTAATACTGCACCCGACATGCATCAAATCTAAATTAGCTCAATGATTGGTTTAATTTTGGCATGTTTTTTGAAGGAACAAAAGGTATCCTACCCAATTGAATGAAGGCACAAGATGTTACTAGCTTTCAAATCAGCGATATTTCACTTCGGAAAACATAACTTTGTCCGGTAAAGTTGCTCTAGGGGTAGAAAAATAATAGTATCGTAAATGATCAAATTTGTGTGGAGATGATTGGTTTTTAGACCTAACGAGGTAATTACCCACGATTTGCATGGCTTATTATTCAAAAAAATATTTTTTAATCATTAAAAATAAAATACAATATTATTTATATTATATATGAAAAAACCATTTAAAGCGAAAAAAAAAATCTAAATAAGAATGAATAAAAAAGTAAAAAAAAAAACATGGTAGGGTCTAAAAGCCAAATACTTTAGTATCTTAAAAATAGTAGTTTGTTTGTTTGTTTGTTTGTTTGTTACCGTAAATATTGTTTCGGATAGGATAGTTTATCATGCACATTTCCTTCAACGTAAAATTAAGTGTTATTCTTTCTCTCGGTTGCCTTTAGAAGTTAAATTGTCTCTTAGACATGATAGATTTGGTTTTTATAATTATAGAAGTTGAAATAGATTAATTTTCACTCGTAACATGAGTTTATTTCTCTAGGGGTTTAGGCCTCTTTATTCCCTCCAATTTTGCTCTTAAATAAAAACACTTTATTGTTGAAATATTAAAACTGTAATTATGCAGCTAATAAGAGACAAATTTGTCATTTGGTATTGCTGGCTGGCCACGAATCATCAGAATTTGAAAGTGTTTGTGTAACAAAAGATTGTTAATTTAGAAGATCAGTCATGTCAAATGTCATAGTTTTTTTTTTTTTTTGGGTCCAATTATATTTTTAATAATCCAGTGGTTTTAATCTTGTCTTGGTGACAATAATGACAGACTTGTGGGAAATTTTATGTGTTACCAATCATATTGCTTCTTAATTTGGTTTTGATGTAATTAATTAATCAATCAATTAGTTTTGCATTTTTATAATAAATATTTTGCGTTTTTCAAGTTAGATGAAATCATATTGTTTCTTGGGTTTTGTTGAGCTTAGTTGAATATTTTGTGTATATTTTACCCGAGATGAAATCATTTTGCTTCTTAGATTTTGATAATCATTTTTCAAGTTAGAACTTTCATGCTACATAAAGAGTATAGTCATATAGGGTTGTTACCTTGTTGGATAGATAAATCATTCTTGTCCAATAGAATATATGCTCTTGTCCTCAATTTTTCTGTGAGCAATTTAATTTTTTGCTTTTAAAGTTTCTATTTACTCAAATTTTTAGAATAATGTCAATTAATATTGATGAAGATATTCTACATTCCATTTTTTCCTATTATAATCAATTACTTCCAAAAGTAAATTTTTTATTCAATTAAGAGAGAGAAAAAATATTTTATATATGTTTACTTGTTTTTCGAGTATTCTTCAAAAATTTAAAGAAACCAAGATATGTTTTTTTTTTTTTTTTTTTTTGGGAATTACTAGAAAAATATAAAGTTCTAAGATTTATACAAATGACAAATTTGTGTCTTATTAGCTGCATAATTACGAGTTAAAATTAGAAACGTTTTTGAAAAAAAGATAAATTCTTCAAAACTCTAGGAAAAACCAAAGATAAATTCCTAAAATCTTATCAAAATACATGAAATTTATTATATATACTAATCAATTACCATCATATTGTTTGATTTTATATAAATTGGAGCATAGTTGTTACGGAGGAAGCATGGTTTTATATATATGAAAAACAAAATATTAATTAGAGCATAGCTATTATGGAGGAAAAATATGTAGCGAAACATGGGGATGTAGTTTTATTTTTAGGTTTTTATTAGAGAGAAGATGCATAAATTTCACTAAATAGCGACGAAATTACTATTTTCATTGTCACGATTTAGTAACGAATATTCTATCACTAAAGGATACATCCCTTGCAATTTAGCAATCGAAAAATTCATCGTTAAATGTAAGAATTTGAGAAAAATTGGATGAATGTTTTTAAAGACAAAACCTCTCATTTTGAAGTGCAATAGCGACGAATCGGCGAAGGGATCATGTTCATCACTATTTTCTTATCTCTAATTAAACCCCCTTCTTCTTCCTCCTCCATTTTCTTCTACCTCTTCTTTTCTAATCGAGTAGCTATCGGTCTCTCCCCTTCCAAACAACCATCAAACTCCACTCCTCCACTCCCAATCGATCCACAACTACTCTAAGGTCTTTTCTCTAAAAAAACTCTCATTTTTCTTTCCCTTATATGGATGTAATTCTACTTGAATTAGGTAAGTTTTTTCTCTTTTTTATTTTCTTAATTACGGTTAGTAATTTTTTATAATTGTTCGGTTAATTTTAAGTTTAATTGTTTGATTTGTAATTGTGCATATATTAAATTGTTATTTTGTTGATTTATTTGTTAAATTGCTAATTTGTTTTGTAATTATTAGGTTAATTTATTGATTAATTGGTTAAATTGTAAAGTTTTGTTAATTGTTAGGTTAATTAGTTAATTAATTATACTTTAAATTTAATCAAAATTGATTTAAATTAATTAAGTTATTTTTATTTATATTTAATTAATTAATTAGGTTAATTATCTTTAATTGATTGAATTAGACTAAATTTGTTAATTAATTTTTTAATTTTTCTTAATTAAGTTAATTTAATTATGCTTTGAAATTTGATTTTGTTAGAATTAGAGATAATTAAGTGAATTTGATTTATATTTAATTAATTAATGATATTAATGATGTCTAATTAGTTGAATTATAAGTTTATTTATATTAAAAATTGTTAATTAATGTCTATTTTAAGTTTAATTTAGTTATAAT